GAGTCTTTTTATTGGGGAATTGAAAGAATATTAAGAGTTATTATAAAAGATATATATTAATTTCTGCCATTTTGTTGATTTTTGTGGTGTTTTGTTGATTAACTGTCCTAGTATTGTTTATAATCCTTGTGACACTTGGGTATGTTTCTCCTCTTCAGACTGAAGTATTCTTTCCAGTATTCTCTGTAGAGATGGCTTAGTGGTCATAAATACCTTTAATCAGTTTTTAATCATGAAAGCTTTTAATTTTTCCTTTAATTTGTTTTGAAAAAGGATTTCCCTGTAGCCATAGCTGACCTGGAATTTTCTATGTAGACCAGGATGGCCTTGAACTCATAGAGTTTTGCCTGCTTCTGCCTCCTAGCTGCTGGGATTAAAGACATGTGCCACTATGACTGGCTCTCCTTCAATTTTAAAAGATAATTTTGCTGGGTATAATAGTCTAGGTGGATAGTTTGGTCTTTCACAAACTGAAGTAGATCTTTCCAGGCCCTTTTGTCTTTAAAAGTTTGTGTTGAATAATCAGGTGTTGTTCTAATGGGCCAGACTATATGTGACTTGACCTTTCTTGCAGTTTTCAATACCCTTTCTTTATTCTGTGTTTTTAATCTTCCTATTTGAGGTTCTGTAGGCCTCTTGGACCTGAATGGGCATCTTTTTCTCTGGGTTTGGAAATGTTTCTTCTATGGTTTTATTGAAAACATTCTCTAGGCCTCTGGTATGGTATTCTTGTTATTCTTCTATGCCCATAATCCTAAGGTTAAGTCTTTTCATGGTGTATCAAAGCTTTTCCATGTCTCATGCACATATTTAAAAAATTATCATATCTTGTATTGACCTCCTTATTTCATTTGACATGGTTTTGTTCTCTTGGATTATATTCATGTCTTCTTTCAGTTGTTTGAATATAGTTACAATCACTGTATTGAATTCTTTTTCTGGAAGTTCTTCCAGGTTGTTCTCATTAGGGGCCATTAATATGAAATTATTTTCATGTCATTTTTGTTTCTGTGCTGGGACTTGTGCTTCCAGAGTTATTGAGTCTTTTAAAGCCAAAAGAAGGAGTCAGACCCCCTAGACCTGGAGTTAAAGGTGGTTGTCAGCCACTGTATGTGGTCCTTTAGAAGGGCCGCAAGCTCTCTTAATCACTGAGCCATCTCTCCAGCTCCCTTTTTTTGTTCAAGCCACTTTTGGTTTTTCAGTGGCAGTGTTTACAATGTTCAGTAGATAGCTAAATCTTAGTATAGTTAAAATGTCATTGTCCTCTGTATGGCTGGTATCAAGGGCCACAGGCTCTAGTCCTAGTCTTCCTCTGAGAGTCAGCTACTCTCTGGTGCTTACAGCTAGGTTCTTGGGTATATAGGTAGGCCTAAACAAGGGAAGTGGGGCTCTCTCAATTGGTGTAGGAATTTATTCAGATTGGGCCCCTAGAACAGAATTCTTGGGTGGCATATGTGGATCTGGTGCAGGAGGCCTAACAGGCTGGCACACAGGGTAAGGTTCCAATGTGACTTAGGCAGGTCTAAGCAGTGGAAGCTGGTGCAGGAAGTTTCTGGGTGTCATAGGTTGGGCATAAGAGGAAGAAGCTGGATTTCCTCACTAGTGTAGGAGACTGCTCCAGTTTCACAAAATGAACATTAACAGACTAGAAGGTCAGATATATCCTTATACCATAATAGTGGGCGTGGTAGTTTCCATGAGGTGTCCTCCATAGGCTCAAGTATTTGAACACTTTGTCTCCAGTTGGTGGTGTTCTTTGTGGAGGTTCACGAGGCTTGGCCTTGCTGGAGGAAGCAAGTCACTAGGGGTGGGCTTTGAGTTCACAGCCATGTCCCATGTCCAGTGTCTGCCTCTCCCTGCCTCCTGTGCCTGCTTGAAGTTGTACACTCTCAGCTTTCTTCTCTGGCTGCCTCTGCCACCATGCCTCCCTGCCATGATGGAATGTTATCCTTCTGAATTGTAAGTCAAATAAACTCTTCCCTTTGTCATGGTGTGCTATCACAGTGTTCTAGTTTGTTTCTCCATTGCTGTGACAAAATATTCTGACCAATATCAACTTGGGGGAGGAAATGGTTTATTTTATCTTATGTCTCCTGGGTCATGGTTCATCAGGGAGCCCAAGGTAGGAACTCAGGGCAGGAACCTGGAGGCAGGAGCTGGAGCACAGGCCATGGAGGAATGCTGCTTGCTGGCTTGCTCCTCTGACCCCTGCTCAGCCTGCTTTCTTATGCAACACAGGCCCACCTGACCAGGGGTGGCACCACCCACAGTGGGCTGGGCCCTGCCACATCACTCAACAGTCAAGAAGATGCCCCACAGACATGGCCACGGGCCAGTCCTATGGAGGAAATTCCCCAATTGAGGCTCCCTCAACCAGCTGTGTCACCTTGACACTAAAGCTATCCAGTACACACAGCAACAGAATAAGTAACTAATATAGAAGTTAGTACCAGAAAGCAGATGGTTGCTGTATGAATAACCTGATCTTGTCCTCTGGAGGAATGTAGAAGGCTTTGGGAGTTTGGA